CGGCGCCGCTCGGGTGGCGTTTCCCGAGGGTTGGGGATGCCTCCCGCGGGGGTTCAGCCCCGGTGAGATTCCCTCCCCCCCGGTCGCCTGTTCACCTGATGTTTCTGTTCTTTCAGTCTGCGACCATCCCGCTCTTCATGACCAACAAGGACGTTGCCGCCGAGGCGGTGAGCGCTTCTCCTTGGTGGGGTTCTTGCGTCCCTCGGTCTGTCTCTGGAGCTGAGGGGGCGCTGACGCCGTCTCTCTTCCCGCAGGTGACAGGCAGTGGCAAAACCTTGGCATTCGTAATTCCCATTCTGGAAATTCTCCTCAGACGGGAAGAAAAATTAAAGAAAATGCAGGTAGGGTGAAGTTATTCGAGTCCAGGTGTGTTTTTATGACGTGCCAATAAGATTTGTGGACTTCAGGAAGAGATCAGCTGGTGGAAATTGTATGTACATAAAGTGACTCTGTGCGCAGCTCTTTGGTATAGCTAACAATAAACTCTTTAAAACTTGAAAATAAATATTGGGGTGCTTTCTTTGTACTAAAATACAGTTTCTTATCTGACATACTCAACATAGTTTGTGAGCTGTTAGAACAATGTCTTAAAATATCAGTCATGTACTTCAAACAAGTCTTTGAATGCCTTTTAGCATCTGTTGACATTGAACACGTTATAGTGTTCTGAGATCTGGCACTGTTATTTGCTGTTAAATGTCATTCGTTACTGCTCGTTGAGCAGAGGTATTTTGGATATTGATCTAATACCTCTATCACAGACATTTTGTTATTTTGTACACTTTGTGTTATTTCTGTGGAAATGTTCCATCTAAAACTAGGAACATAAACAAAGCTCACATTAGTTTACCTTGTGAGGGAGAATTTTGCTCAAGTCTTTCTTCTAGTCTGTTATTTTCCATAATTTCTTTGTTTTTTTCCTTCATGTACAGGTTGGTGCTATAATTATCACACCAACGAGAGAGTTGGCCATCCAAATTGATGAGGTGCTGTCACATTTCACAAAACACTTCCCCATGTTTAGGTGAGTGAACTTGTGGACTTGCCATGGCCATCGTTCCTTTTTCTTGTCATTCGTAGCCTAGCAAAACGTGGAGCTGACCTAAATCTGTGTTCTTGTTTTAGTCAGATTCTTTTAATTGGTGGTAGGAATCCCATGGAAGATGTTGAAAAGTTTAAAGAACACGGGTGAGTTGATTGCCAATGTTTTTTATCACTGCCTTGCAGCTGTGGTTTTCTCCTTGCCCTTGGGCTTTTCAGATGAGGGCTTCAGTCCTGCTGGTGCTGAAATTTGGTGGCACTGCATGAGTGTGTCAGAGTGTAGGCTGAGGAGATGGTGAGTTCTTTCCCTGGAGTGAGACACACCGTGGTGAGATGATAGGAAAGGGTGAATTTTGAAATCAGAACCATTCACTTGCTGTTTGGGTGAGGAGCAGTGTGGTGAGCTGAAGCTCTGATTGTCTCAGAGTTTTTGCTGCACTAGCAGTGGGCTCTGGTGAGATTGAAACCGTGCTGATGGATCGTTTTCTGTGACTGTTTGGTGCTGATACTGATGATGAAGTTTTGAAACCATCTCATTTGCCACTAGCTTTTGCATGGAGGTACCAAATATTTCACCTAGCTGATGACTGCTTTCCATAGTTGCTGATTTTATTCTGAACTTTGACTACCACAAATGGAATGCTTCCTTGCTGAAAAGCACTGAGATTCAAACACAGCTAGCAGTGACAAAATGGAACTGTTTTACTGAGGGATGCAGTCAGCTGGTGTGGAGGTCTGTGCTGTGATGATGGTGTTGGCAGCTCCCCCAGAGCCCTTCCCTGGCCCTGTTGTGGAGCTGCTGTGTCCCCTTCACCCGCAGCGGGAACATCGTGGTGGCGACGCCGGGACGCCTGGAGGATCTCTTCAGGAGGAAAGCAGATGGGCTGGACCTGGCCACTTGTGTGAAGTCTCTGGATGTGCTGGTGTTAGATGAAGCAGACAGACTTCTAGATATGGGCTTTGAAGCCAGGTGTGTGAGTAATGAATTCTAGGAATGGTTCTGAAATGGTAAATGAGTTCATGTATGATTGGTGTGAATGGGTGGGGCCTACAGGGACCTCTAAAGTTAGATTTGTTCTGTTTTATTCTTCTGCCTCTCTGCTCTGTAGAATATATAAAGCAATTGCTGAGAGACAGAGAACTGAGAGAAGTGGATCTGTGAGTTTACAAGAGTTTACAGTTTGTTTGTTTTTAATTAGCCAGCCCATGCTGTGTTAACATTTGATTAAGTATCATTTACATGTCAGAATGGCTTAAAATGCTTTAACAAATAGGCTTTGATGCCCCTTTTCTCTTCAAGTTCAGCTAATTGAGTGGAAGATGCTGTATACTTGGCACTCTGTAATGGAAGCTGCTTTGGTTATGAACTCTTCATTCCAAGGATGAAGCTCCTCTCTGAGGGAAGGCTTGGGCTGGTTACGTTTTCCATGTGCTTGTTTGCAGTTTAAACACCATTCTGGACTTTTTGCCCAAGCAGAGGCGGACGGGTCTGTTCTCAGCAACTCAGACTCAGGAGGTGGAGAACCTGGTGAGAGCGGGGCTCCGGAACCCCGTCCGCATCTCCGTGAAGGAGAAGGGAGTGGCAGCAAGCAACACACAGAAAACTCCAACACGCCTGGAGAACTACTACATGGTGTGAACCTCGGGGTGCTCCCTGGCAGCTGCTTCTCCCCTCTCCAGAAGTTTTTATATCCTGGCCAGTTCCCACCACATTGTGTTTTGGAGACTTCTAGTTCTGCTATTAAAGCTCTTGCAGGTTCTCCAGAGATCAGCAACCAAGCTGAGGAGAAAGGTCTAAATTAGCAACCCTGTTGTGTCCTGCTCTGTGAGCTTTTTTTGGCTGGCCAGGAGTTGTTGTTACCCTAAAGCAGCTGCAGTGTTGTGGCTGCTCGGCCTGCTGTTAGTGGTTGGGGGTGGGATGAGACTGTGAGACTTTGAGATTTTAGAAAAGGGGTGGAGGGAAACCTGAGAAAATGATGTGGGAGAGGTGTTGTGATTTGGGATAGGAAGACTGGGAGCTTAAGTACTTGGTTTTACTTAAAACAAGATATGTTAAAGACTAATTAATATCACACATGATGAACTATGGTACAAATGATCAGTATTAAGAAATTCTACCCGTAGGCATTTATCTGTGCACAGTGAGCAGAGGAGACTGGCACAGGGCTTTCAATCAAGTCTGTTTTCTTACCTCTTTTTTTTCTTTTGCATTGTATAGATCTGCAAAGCAGATGAAAAATTCAATCAGTTGGTGCATTTTCTTCGACAGCACAAACAGGAGAAGCATCTAGTCTTTTTCAGGTAATTCCATTAGGGTTTCATTGTGAAAATAGTCTGGTCATTTATGACTTAAACTCCAGAACTGCCCTGTGTTGACAAGGACGTGACTGTTTTAAAAGTGATTAATTTTAATGGCTGTCTTATAGAATATGCTGCCTAAAAAAGAGAGTGATCATTACTTCGTGTCAGGAAGCAAAACTAAATGTTATTTACATTTTAAAAGTAAAGCATTAGAGATTATTCTGTGTTAACTATAAAAATTGTGCACTTGTTTTAGATAAAACCAGGAAGCAGTGTGTATTGTGGAAAGGTCTCAGACCACTCCAGCTTGGCTGTCGAAACCAGGTTAAAATGCAACATAACCCTTTGCTTTAATGTTTGTCTTCATCACAACAGCACGTGTGCCTGCGTGGAGTACTATGGGAAGGCTTTGGAGTCCTTAATTAAACAAGTGAAAATAATGAGCATTCATGGGAAGATGAAGCACAAGCGGAACAAGATTTTTACGGAGTTCCGGAAGCTCGCGGGGTGAGAGCTCAGGCACAGGCCACAGCAGCCAGGAGCAGAAATCAGGGATCTGTGGGTTTGTTCTGCTGCTGGGGCGTGGGGAGCGGCGCCGTGCTGAGGAGGAGGAGGGTGCCAGCTGGTTCTGAAGGGGTTTTAATCACACAGACTGCACTGAGGTACTCAGAGGATGGTCACAGAGTCACGGAGCGTGTCCAGCCTAATTGAGATGACCCTTGTGGCAACATGGAAGGTGCAGGGATGTGAATTTAGGATATCCTGCAGCCCGGGAGGCTCTGTCCTGCAGTTTTAACTGGGCTCATGCTCACATACCACAGTCACACTGTAGCCTTCACGTGTAAACGTGTTGTTTGGAACTGGTGTGGAGAGAACCTTTTCCTGATGGGTAACCAGAGTGGGAACCCAGGATCCTGGGTTCCAGGGCTGCAGCACCTCTGCTGTGAGGCCAGACTGAGAGCTGGGGTTGTGCAGCCTGGAGAAGAGAGAGCTCCAGGGAGACCTTATTGCAGTTTTCCAGAATCTAAATATCTTCCTTACAAGGAAGCTGAGGAGGAGCTCTGAGAGCTGGGGTTGTGCAGCCTGGAGAAGAGAGAGCTCCAGGGAGACCTTATTGCAGCTTTCCATAATCTAAAGTATGTTCCTTACAAGGAAGCTGGGGAGGAGCTTTTTACACAGGCTCATAGTGACAGGACAAGGGGTAATGGCTTCAAACTGGAAGAGGGGAGATTTAGATTAGAAATTAGGAAGCAGTTCTTCACTATGTGGGTGGTGAGACACTGGAACAGGTTTCCCAGAGAAACTGTGGATGCTCCATGGAGGTGTTCAAGGCCAGGTTGGATGGGGCTTTGAGCAGCCTGGTGTAGTGGGATGTGTCCCTGCCCATGGCAGGGGTTTGGAACTAGAAGATCTTTAAGGTCCCTTCCAACCCAAACTGTTCAATGATACTATTTTATTAGTATATGAACAGGAACATGGAAACAGATGCTGTAATTTACCTGCAGAAAAGTATTGGTCAGCTTTGCAGGCCATTGTTAAGAGGCTCTTGCCTCTTTCACTGCCATTTTTTGTTGCATGGACCTGGGTTTTAGCACTTCCTATTATAAGAAAAATGACTGCCAGCAGCCTGGCAGAACAGCTGTTTCAAACAGCATGCTGAAGCTGTCTCTTAAGTCTTCCATTAAAACATGTGTAGCATTATGTTCTGCTGTGGTGCATGCAGTGCTGGTTGAAAAATAGAACTTGTAATAGGGATTTGACTTTTCTTAGTGATGTAATGTGAATCACACTCCTCTTCATAGTGTTATATAGAATTTTAATCAGTGAAAGCTGCAACTACCTTAGAGTATTTTGTCTCTTTTGAAAAACCAAATGTTTTAAAACATTTTGTTCCTTGTTCTCCAGGGTAGATGCAGCATGCACAGCTGGGCAGAGACTGGCTCTTCTCAAATGGTGATTTAATGGAAATCTGCTTTTTCTTCTTCCTTCCTAGAGGCATTTTGGTGTGCACTGATGTGATGGCCCGTGGCATAGACATTCCAGAAGTGCACTGGGTTTTACAGTACGACCCGCCCAGCAGTGCAAGGTACAGCTGCAGGTCTTAAGGACCTTTACTTGTGGTCATGTTACTGCACTGGTCAGATATAAATGGGGAGCACACAACTGTGGAGGACATTTAACTCCTGCCTGGGAGTTAGTCTGAGTGAACACACAAAGTAAGGTGTGAACAAGAGGGAGTTAGTCTGAGTGAACACACAAAGGTGTGAACAAGGGAGGTTAAAACACTCTGATTTTTGTTGTCACTGCTGAGAATTGAAATGATTTTGTGTTGTAAGTGCTGAGGTGAGACTGGTGCTCGCCACTGACTTCAGTGTGAAGAGGTGCTCTGGTGTGAGGGGTGGTGTGAGAGCAGCAAGATGACAAGAGGCGAGGCACTAGGGTGGGTGAGGGCAGAGAGGAGAGCAGGGACAGAGCTCTTCAAGGCATAGGTCAGAACCTCACATAACAGGCACTTTTCCATGTATTTTAACTTCCATTGTTGTGATTCTCCCTACAACTCGCTTAAACTGGGTCCTGCACTTGGGTCACAACAATCCCAGGTGATGCGCCTGGCTGGGGGAAGAGTGGCTGGAAACTGCCTGGCAGAAAAGGCCCTGGGGGTGCTGCTGGACAGTTGGCTGAACATGAGCCAGTGTGTGCCCAGGTGGCCAAGAAGGCCACCAGCATGCTGGCCTGGATCAAAAATAGTGTGTCCAGCAGGAGCAGGGAAGTGACTTTGCCCATGGACTTGGCACTGGAGAGGCCACAGCTTGAGTACCAGGGTCAGTTTTGGGTACCATAGGATAAAAAAGACCGTGAGGGGCTGAAGCGGGCCCAGAGAAGGGCAGTGAAGCTGGGGAGGGGTGTGGGGAGCACAGCTTGTGAGGTGTGGCTGAGGGAATGTGCTCATGAGCTGTTGTTCCAGTGCCTTCGTGCATCGCTGCGGCCGCACGGCGCGGATCGGCAACGTGGGCAGCGCGCTCGTCTTCCTGCTGCCCATGGAAGAGTCCTACGTCAGCTTTCTCTCCATCAACCAGAAGGTCAGTAGACTTTTATTCTGGCCTAAAGCAGGAAGGAGCAAGAGGAGGGGCTTACCAATAGGAGTTTTGAAAACAGAATTTGGAGGATTTAAGGTCATATGTGTAGATGTTTTAGCAGAGGTGCATGATTAAAGAAAGACAGGAGCTGCTTGATCACCAAATGTGACTGTCTGTTAGAACTCGATTGTTCCCTGTGTAGTTTGTAGTGGGAATAAGCTGTCTAGGGTGAGGAAAGGCTTTTTTATTTTCTAAGAGTGTGTAGAATGAGCATTCCCAGAAGGGCAACTCTGGCTCATGCTCCTTCCGCCTGGCCTTGCCACTGCCAGTTCATACACTGCACCCTCTGCTTTTAACCTCTGCTAAGTCCTGTGCCTGGCCCTGCATTTTGGGGATTGATTGTATAAATTTGGTAGAGCCCTGCTGATAAGAACCAACGTAGCTTGATATGGTGTGGGGTGAAGGTGTTGCCCCTCTCAGGCTGCAGGGTGCCAACTCTTTGCTGGTCCAGCACAACTGTGTGGGGCTGAACGGTGAACCGAGTGTGAAGTGGTCAAGGAGAGGGGGAAAGGGGCTCCAAGCTGACTGAAGATAAACTGGGGAAGAAGCATGTGTTTGAAATCATTCAGTTAAACTTTTTCTTTTGTTTTTGGTGTCTTCTTTTCTGGTTTGTAGTGTCCCATGCGGGAAATGAAACCACAGCCAAACGTGTTAGATCTCCTTCCAAAGCTGAAGTCCATGGCCCTGGCCGACAGGGCAGTGTTTGAGAAAGGGATGAAAGCATTTGTGTCCTACGTCCAGGCTTACGCCAAACACGAGTGCAACCTCATCTTCAGGATAAAAGGTAATTCCCTGCAGGGCTGCTGTATTTT